AATCACCTCTGGTTTAAAATACAACAGTGAAATCTGGCCTCACATGACTTTCCAAATCTGAGCACACAAAAATTACAGTGCAAGTCCCAGCATAATTTATACTCCGCAGTGGGCCTCCAAAGCACTCCTCAGAATCAATACCTAGTAGGCGAATGTCTAAATCCACATACCATGCTGACTGGTGGCATACTCCTTTTCCTTACGTCTTACCCCAGAGTTGCCTAACCTATCAACCGCGCTATCTTTTGCAACCCTTCCTCAACCCCCCCCTCCTTTCAAATTAGCTGTCATCTTCTCCAAGGTACCTTCAGACAGTCCCTAGCGACGTAGTTAAATGCATGTCGGTTCCCCAAATGAGTAACCGATGAGTAACTGGCTTCTAGTGATTCATTAGTGCCCAAAACAGGTAAATTTTAATCTTAATGGTGAGTCAAAAAGATTACAGTCTACACAACATGGATTTTGGGATCAATGTAGAAACCTGTATACACCTAAAATAAATGCAGAAAATGTCCTGGTTTCATAGATGGAAATGAAAGGAAACCTTTTTCCCTTTTAGCAAAAATGAACAGGAATTTAGGAGAGAGAGACAGATTTTCTGTTCTTATCAAACACTAGTGAGTTCAGTAAGATTTAGGCTAAAGGTAGATTTCAGCCACCTCTAGAATTGTGATTCAGAAGTCTTTCTTTCAAGTGCAGCTTTCCTTCAAATGAATAAACTTATTTCCACAGAACCCCGAGGAATGTATTTGGTATACAGTATACAAACAATAAATATAAAAAATTCAGAACTGACATTTTAAAGATGATCTTCTAAATAAAAGTGGCCTGCTTTACAGCTTGCAAAGGACTCCAGAGGAATTTTTGATCCCCTCTGAAATTTGGGTGCTGTTATTTAGGAACTAAATGACACATTTAAATTCCAGTTTCATCCAGGCTAGAAGAATTTGATTTCCATGTCTCTCTTTTCCATGTCTACCTGTACAACTGCGGGTTCGTATTTTTGAAGACTATATACATCTTTGTAGGTACAGTTCATGTTCCTCAACTGCATCTTGAGAGTCATATAAAAAGACCTTATTTTCACACTTGCTTTAGAAACAAACTAAAAATTACCGAAACCTCAGCTCTGAATATTACTGGCCTTTCTGCAATAAAGATCTTACAAGGGCTCTTTGTACAACATGATCTGCTACATTTACCTTTTGAATCAAAGGCAGAGGTGTATGCATGGCACAGTGCACAGTTAGCCGTGCATGAAACCAGTCAAAATGTTCAACGTTACTGTTAACATTCTTAAAAATACTGCAGTGAAAATCCGTAATGAATACAACAGACTCCATTCAAGTGCAAATAAGAAAACATAGCCTTAAAAACAAAATATCTATAAAAGCTTAATAAGAATAAATGTTTACAGGCACTTTTAAGGTAATATTTGGGACTCACCTACAAACTGCAGGAACAGCAAAGAGTACAGCTGGAATTTGGAACAGGAAGCAGCAACCACCCAAAATGCTTACGATATACAGAAGCATTTCTACACTTCAGGAGGTGCTAGGGAAGACATTTGTCATCAGAAGCCCCAAGTTCCAGAGCAGTGAAGCTTTGTCCTAATGTCAGCTACCCTCTTCCTATTTACACTCTGTAACAACACCACTCCAGTCACTTCTGCCTTTTTTGGAAGCCGGATCAGGCAAAAATTTCTCTGTCTTTACTGGTGCGAATGGCAAACAGTTATTGGATTCACTACATCACTCTGTTTTTAATGAAAACAATCTAGGAATCTCATGAAGCTCAGGAGAGGAAAATGTAAAGTCCTGCACCTGGTGAGGAATAACCCCATGCACCTGCACAGCCTGGGGGCCAGACAGTTGGAAAGCTGAGGGTCCTGCCAAGACAACGACTTGGCCATGAGCCAGCAATGTGCCCTTCTATTCAGGGCAGAATATCAGAATATCATTAGCCTTCCTTGCCGCAAAGGCGCAAAATAAAAAATAACAAAGTCAAATGAAATATGTAAATAAAGAACACACCAGGATCCTTATTAATTTGGTAACTAGTAAGGAATTATGGAGTGAAGGACTCCATAAGTGAAGTGGAGCGAATCTAGCATCTATTAAGTATAACCCAACGACATTATACTTTCCTATCAAGAATCCCCTTTAGCAAGAAACTAAACCAAGACTTTCACAGTCTACTCTGGACAAAGAATTTGCCTATTTAATGATTCCTCATGAGTTCAACACCACTTTGAGGATATCTGTAATAAGTGGCATACTTACAGATGAACTATACTAAGATGCAGAAATTTTTTTTTAGTGCAGAAATTTTTTTTTGTTAGAACTGTAAAGTTCAAAGCTCTTTCTGTAGTTAGATGCCTTAAGTCACTGTGTTTTGAGTTCTCTTTACTGCACTTTTAATATTCCCTCTACTCCTAAGTGTACTGCAGCGTATTTAATGTTTACACACATGCAACATAACTCCACCTAACAGATACGGGTTTTGTGCCTTCACCTCAGTTCCAAGTGTTTATGAGGTTATCCAGACTCTGTGCAGGCTTCTGCAAGCACAGCAACCCTGTGTTCTGCTCACTTACACTACTGCCTTGTTGAATACTGAATCAAGTCCAATGATCTGGGTGCAGATGTTGGGGGGTGTCATTTACCCTGGCACGTCATCCTCTCCGAACACATCTCTTTCAGAAAATGCATTCTTCAAAAACAACAGGACCTGTCAGCTACAAAAGTGAGACCACAGACCACCGGTCATTTTTCTCAGCAGCTGGTCTATGCCTGTGGACGTCCACTTCTGAAAAACAGACCAACTGCAGTGACACTCTTCTGCCTCTAGAAAAAAAACCCACTGACCTCTTAAATGGTGTGAGTGTTCTACAACTGAACGCTAACCAGAGAGCACGTGTTGCACTCTGCTGACTAGGCTGCAGAGAGATCGGGGCTTTGGTAGGGGCAATGTTGACAGATGTGAAGGACACACCAGTCCTCTTTTTTGCCTTTTTAACATGTTTGGTTAATACCTCTTTCCTTATCTAGCCTCTTGTATCATTTGAGTAGCTGTAAGAGATACTGATGGTTTAGGTATTTTGCCAACTTCACTGTCACTGTTACTCCTCGCCATTCCTAGGCACCTCTGTCCCTCCTGAAAATACCTTCACAAAGTACATACCTCTAAGGTTTGCATTAAAAATTCTACTGGTGGCTATACATTTCTATGATGTAGTGATTCAAGTAAAGTGGAGTAACAAAGCAGAAGATTTTGCAGGATAGAACTGTCCTCCTTAAGAAATTAGTCAGAGGGTGGGGTCATGACAAATAAAACTGTCTCCCTCTCAAAAACTGTAGGAGTTTTCCCAGTCCTTTGGGACTGGCAATGGAGATCATACTTCCTTTTCCTGGAAAACCAAGATTACCTGTAAAGAAACGTAAAAATGTCTTCAGCTCCTAGACTTAACCAATTTTGCTGGGCCTCAGGCACTGCACTGCTTGCTTCAGAAGCTCCACAAGAATCAGCGGCTTTTGCTCTCCTGCAATTACCTTCATCTAGCCTGTAAGCGAATGGCCTAAATTCAGGTAATGGTAGACAGTCAAAAACTGGTTTTACTGATCTTTAAGAAAGATTAGCAATGTATGTCTCACTGGCTGTATGCTATCTACCCAAAACAAACCACCTGGCCTTGCTCATCTTTGCCCATTACTGCAATGAATCCCTAAGCAGGTACAAATGGGTACTACAGCAAAACTGCATCAAAAGCCAAACCAGACATAATGTGCAGGGAAAAGAAAAAACTTCTATGGTGTCAAAAGTGTTTCAGATTCTCCCTCTGTATTAACTGATTTCAGCGAGTAGCTTCTAAAATATTGGAAGCTACTAATCTGTGCAACACCATAGCTCTCACAAGACAATACTGTATCCTACCTATCCTCTTCTAGTTAGAACCCTACCCCTGTGTACCTCCACACAGGTGGTAGGAATCATAGAATCATTTACCTTGGAAAAGACCTTTAAGATCATCGAGTCCAACCGCTAACCTAGCACTGCCAAGTCTATCACTAAACTATGTCCCTAAGCACCACATCTACACGTGTTTTAAATACCTCCAGGGATGGTGACTCAACCACTTCCCTGGGCAGCCTGTTCCAAGGTTTGGCAACCCTTTCGGTGAATAAATATTTCCTAATATCCAATCTAAACCTCCCCTGGCGCAACTTGAGGCCATCTCCTCTCGTCCTGTCGCTTGTTCCTTGGGAGAAGAGACCGACCCCCACCTCGCTACAACCTCCTTGCAGGTAGTTGTAGAGAGCGATGAGGTCTCCCCTCAGCCTCCTTTTCTCCAGGCTGAACAACCCCAGTTCCCTCAGCCGCTCCTCATCAGACTTGTTCTCAGACCCCTCACCAGCCTCGTTGCCCTTCTCTGGACACGCTCCAGCACCTCAACGTCCTTCTTGTAGTGAGGGGCCCAAAACTGAACACAGTATTCGAGGTGCGGCCTCACCAGTGCCGAGTGCAGGGGGACGATCACTCCCCCTACACACTGGATTGTGTGCTGTAAGCACAGGAGTGGAACACCGACTCCTGAATTTCCTAAGCCCCGAGTAGCCTAAGGAGAGCTACTTTCTGTACTGCACTTTAAAAGCCCATCACAACTTGCATGGATGCTAATAATAGCAGTAACAACACATACTCGGTTTTGTAAGTCAACATTTGTATAAATAGCAGTAGAGCCACAGCAGATCAGTGCAGAAAGCTCACTTCGTCTGGATGCAAAAGGAGAGAGATCTCAAGCAGGCATATTTGCAGGCGGTGCCGCCTCGGTAAAGGATGAGGAAGTTATCTGCAGAATGCACAATACCACAGTCAAACTGACCAAGAAGAAGGGGAAAAAAAAAACCCCAGGACGCTCATAGAAGTCTTTCTTATGTGAGGAGACAATGAAGAAACTGTGATCACTCCCTGGAAAATAGAAACGGCAGCGCAGAACAAACCTCAACCACGGAAGGCTATTTGTACGTTTAAGTCCATTGCTCAGGTCCCGCTCCTCTCGGCGGCCGCGGCAGCGTTCCACGCGGGCAGGATCCAAGCCCGCGTGGCGCTCTATGCCAGCAACGGAGAGCTCGTGTGGCTGCCTTGTGCGCTAGCCTGCACGGCCCAAGGCGCCCGCGGGGCTCGGCTTCGGGCGGG